CGGAACCGAACCGGGGACCCTTCAGTCCGCAGGCCGACGCTCTATCCACTGAGCCAAACCGGCTTCGGCTCTATTTTACCTTCTAATTGTGTTCTTACTTTTTTAAAACAGTAACAACCTTTTATTATGTATGTGTGTGCGTATATATATATATATATATATACACACATATATACACACATGTACGTGTGTGTATATATACATATACATATAGTTGTTGATTACAGAGAGGAAGAGAGAGGGAGAGATAAGATAGAAACATCAGTGATGTGAGAATCATTGATCGGCTGCCTCCTGCACACCCACTAATGGGGCTCAAGCCCACAACCCAGGCATGTGCCCTCGATTGGAATCGAACCTGGGACCCTGCAGTCTGCAGGCCGATGCTCTATGCACTGAGCCAAATCAGCAAAGATTAATTGTGTTTTTAAACGGAAGTTATTGATTTCAGTACATTAATTTTATAACCAGCCACCCTAATGAATCCTTATTGCCTACAATTTTTCAGTTGATTCTCTTGGGCTTTGCAGTTATGTGACCTCTTCCTCTCTAATTCATAAATCTCTATTTCTTTTCTGTTCCCATCCTGTTTCTTTATATTCTGAATTACTTTACTTTTTATAGCTCATATATACAACTTTAAACTGGTTTTGCCTTCTGATTCAATCCAATCATCTCTTTCTTGTAATAGGTGAGTTTACTAATAGGGTAACAGGTACCTGGTATATACATACTGGTACCTATGTATGGTGTCAGTTGTCGTATTACTTTAAGTTATGTTCACTGCTTATATATTGCAAGCCTTTCACTGTGTAGCCTTTCTTTGATCTTTTTTATTATATCAGTTCTCCTGGAAGAGAAGATCTGCCTTTTGTCCTAGAAGTTACTCTCCCGTTCTATGATCTCCTCAGTCCCCTCGTCCCCTGGCGGCCGTCAGCTCCCTACACACAACATGAAATCACCCTGTAGTCCTTTCCTCCCCATTCTTCCACTTCACTAGCCAATGTTGGGCAATAGCGTTCTTTTTTTTTTTTTAATAAATATATTTTATTGATCTTTTACAGAGAGGAAGGGAGAAGGATAGAGAGTGAGAAACATTGATGAGAGAGAAACATCAATCAGCTGCCTCCTGCACACTCCCCACTGGGGATGTGCCCACAACCAAGGTACATGCCCTTGACCGGAATCGAACCCGGGACCCTTCAGTCCGCAGACCGACGCTCCATCCACTGAGCCAAACCGGTCAGGGCAATAGCGTTCTTTTCTAAGCTTTTAGGTATGTTTCAGCGTCTACCAGGCCACTGCACCCGTGACCTTCTTTATTCTTTCCTCTTTATTTGATCCGCTTTCCTCTAGCTCTCACCCAAGTGCCTTCCCAACACGTAACAAAGGCCAAGGTCATTCAAGTAAGGTCTGCACCCTACACCCACCAAAAGGCTACCTTTGATGCCGGGTAAGTCGATGCTGGCGTGCTCGTGGATTCCAATCCCATTCCGGATGATCCGCAAGGAGCCTTCCTTGAAAGCCCCCGAGCAAGTGACCAGCTGCAGAGAGAGACAAGGTTTCTAAACACACACACACACACACACACACACACACCCTGCGCCCGGGCCTTCATGCTGAGGCCCAGCAAGTGCATCAGCTGCACCTGCACCCAAGGACCTGACTGTGGAGCTGGGTGTGAGGCTGCAGACTTAGCAGAGGTTCAGTTCACCTCCAGTCTCCCCAACGTCCTGACAGACAGGACATCCTAGTCCAAACAGCAAAGGCTCCTGCTACTTACCCACAAGCTCCCTCCCACCCCACCCCACCTCGAGGCCCAGTTTACTGGGAAGATCCCAGGACCTGGAATCAGACACACCTGCCGTTTACTAGCTGTGGGGCCTTGGACGAGTTTCTTAATCTCTCTCAGCCCTTCTGGAAGGGCCAAGAACCCCTATCTCTCCAGTGCCCGTGCGGGTATGATGTACAGCAAGTGTCTGGCAGACCAAGATAGGCCCTGGGTAAATGGTGAGGCGCTTACACGTTATCTGCAGGGCACACTCCCATAGGCGAGCCCAGGAGGGCACAGTCTGAGTGGGCACACTAACTGCCCGTCCAGGACCTCACCTGGCCCTGCCCCTGCCGCTCCAGGTCCACCACGCACATGTCCACAATGGGCCCCAGGTTGGTGAAGGTTTCCATGGCGACCACATAGGAGCCTTGCTCATTGCTGTCCACATTGAGCTAAGAAGGAAGAACAAAGGCAGTCCTGCAGCACGCCTAGCGGGCCCGGAAGAAAGGGTCTTCACCCAAACACCCGCCCTGTGCGCCCGGAGGAGGCGGCAAAGGGGACTGCTGACAAGGAACGACTCCTACGGGCAACCCCAACCAGGCAGGGATTTCTAATGAAGCAGCTTGGAAATTAGTGGAAAATGTTTGCACGCGTTTTTCTGCAGAGAAGTTCCGAAATGTTCACATTCTGAAGGGGAGGCAGCCCGTTAGACCAGGACCTTCTGCACACGGAGCTGGGTCTTGCTCATCATCACCCACGGCACCCAGCGCCCGGCCCCGCACACAGGCTGCACGAACCGTGAGGACGAGCACTCATCAAGGTAGGGCGCAGAAAGCTGAATCGCACAGGCCCAGACAGGGCGCACGGAGGGAATCCCGAGGCACTGAACACACAGTCCTGACGAAGCAGCAGGGAGGCCCGCGGGAAAGAAGCGAGAGAGAAGAAAACGTCTTCTCACCTTCACAAGCTGGGAGTCACCAAGGCGCGACCCGACAAACACAACGCCGTTGTCCAGGTACGTCAAGCACTCAGCAATCGAGGTCTAGGCAAAGCCAACCGCGGGGAGGCATCAGGACTCCTGTGCGACCCGGACCCGTCCTCCCCGAGGCTGTGCTGAGCACACCTGCAGCCATGGTGCCCACAACCACCCTCCCCTTCAAGCCTCAGGCCACACCGCACAGATGGCCCTGATCTCTGACGTCTCTGACTTTCCATTCATCACTTCCCTCCAGTCTGAGGAATCTACACTTCATCTCGAAGGTGCCTGCTCCAAATGACAGCTTTAATGCCAACTTCAATCACCTCAAAACTAGCGGAAACCTCTAAAATTCACTGCCTAGGCCTCCACACGCCCTGGGAGCCTCCTCCCAGACGTAAGCATGTTACGCTACTAACGTGTGAGCGCATCAGGTTAACCGCTCATTCTTCTCGCTTTCAGTTTTTCTTTTTACGCTCGAGGTCGCGCCTGGCTGCCTGAGTTTCTCCGCCATCTAACGCATTCAAACACCAACTTCCACAGCAGCACTGACCATGTGCTGCTGGGTAACGGGACCCCCAGTCAGAGTGGGGGCCACTCTCGTGGTCAGTGGGCCCCAGGAGAACGCAGCAGAGGAGGAGCGAGCCCACCTCTCCCAGGAGCTCCACTCGGAGGTCCTTGAGGGTGACCGTGCCGTCCATCTGCTCCTCCTTCTCCAACAGCAGCATGAAGAGCCGGCCCTCCATGTCCCCCAGCAGGTAACGGGAGCCATTGGGGTCCACGCGGTTGTGACACACAATCGTGCTTTGCTGCCGAGAGGGAGGACAGGCGTTAGCGATGAGGCATCTTCCACAACCAGAGCGCAAACCACTCCCCTTCCCACCCCCGCCCCTGCGCGAGCACGCAGCCCTCGGCCAGCACCACGTGTGCTGAAGTCAGAGGCGGTTCATTCTGAGGGCAATTTTCTGGGGAGCCCCACACACCTGAAAGGTTTAGTCACGTGTTATTCTCCGGGGACTAGGACTTGAAAGACTAGAAAACAGCTGTCATTACTCACAGACTATAAATGCTACCAGAGATTTTGTTCATTTACCCTCACTACCACTAATCACCTCCCAGCACTAATGTTACTATAGATTGTTATTTATTCTCAAGGCTTCATTTTTATGACCTGAAGTTTTAAGGTTTGGAATTTTTATGACTAATTGTTAAACGTCTATGTAATATGCCCTGGTGGGTGTGACTCAGTGGTGAGAGCATCGGTCCGCACACCAGAAGGCCGCAGGTTCAATTCCTGGTTGGGATGTGCGGGAGGCAATCAATCGATGTCTCTCTCTCATATCAAAGTTTCTCTCTCTCCCTCTCTCCCACTTTCTCTCGCTCTAAAAAATTAATTAATTAATTTAAAAAAATTGAGGATTAAAAAAGTCTGTATCATTTATCACTATAGTACTTTACATGACATAAACCCTGCAAATACTTAAATTTCAAAATTTTTCCCTTCTTAGTTACCCCAGCCAATCAATGGAAAGGGTAAACCTATTTTATTATTTCTCCCTCGTAGTGAGCAAGCTCTTTATAAACACAAACAGGCAAACCTCTCTTTGTATCCCAATGACCAACACACTATCTTACACGCAGAGCACAGACGGCAGACACCTTGACCCTTCTTCTGACAAGTGGGGAGAAAGAGAGGAGCAGGGTAAGAACGGGGGGAGAGGAGGAGGACAGGAGGGGAAGAGGAAAGCCACTCACCTTGATGATGGGAGGAGCGATCGCCAGGTACTTGTCCCCGTTGTGGTAGGTGATGGACTCCTGCCCGATGATGATGGCCCCGCCAAAGGGCTCCGGGACTGCAGGAGAGGGGCGCGTTAGAGGGCTCTGCACGGGGGACCCCACAGCCTGACACAGCCTGGCACTCACCCAGTTACACGAGGCAAACGGAGACGATCGTTACTTTAAAGATCCTAACTAAGAGCTTTCCCTTTCCTCCGTGTTCCTGAGCTGAGCTTTCCCCATGACCAGAGCCAGTATTAGGAGCCAATCTGCCTGAGGAGTGTAGTTTCTCTAGCAGCGGAGACACGGCTTCGTGCGGGGCGAGGGCCAGGCCAGGTGGTGCAGGTCTGGGAGGCAGCCCGGGCTGTCAGGAGGCACAGGAGCGGGCAGGCCCCTCGGGCCCGCTTCCTCCTCTGAAGCGAAGGAGTCAGGCTGGATAAGCTCTCTGGTCCCTGTCCGTTTTTAAATGTTACGCTCAAAATAAATAACCAGACTGCCATCTGCCACTCCACAAATCAATCTCAGTGTTTTCTAGTAAATCCCAGAAAAAAGAAAATTCTATGTTGGGGGGAAGTGAAAAACAAGACAGTCCCAGAGATGGAAATGGAGAAGGCAAAGGAGCGCGCCTTCAGAGGCACACGCTGGAGGACCACATGCGTCCCGCTCCGAGCGCTGCGGGGCGGGCGGGCAGGTGAGGAAGGATCAATGGGAACCGGCCCAGACCCTGAAACCCGACCAACCTGCAATCACCATGGAAGCTTCCGCCTCTACGTTCTCCTGTTTCCAAGGGCCCTTATTGAACTCCTTCTCCCGCAGGGACACCTCGTAGGTTTTCACGTGCCGCCCCTGAGGGTCCTGGGGGGAAGGTGGAACCATTAGCCTGAGGAAAGGAGAGGGCTCTGAAGGGACAGGTGAGCGCCACCAGCATCTGACTTCCCACGACAGCCTTCCCATCCTGGGTGGGCAGACTGCCACTGAGGCCCACAACACCAACAGCAACCGCAACAAACGTTTACCAGTGAGAAAACATGAGCCCTAGCCAGTGTGCTCCGCGGTCAGAGCGCCATCCTGCGCGCGCACCCAAGGGTCACAGGGTCACTCGGTTCCCGGTCAAGGACACTTACCTGGGTTGCAAGTTCCATCCCTGGAGGCCACCAATCAATGTGTCTCTCTTACATCAATGTTTCTTAATCCCTCTCTCCCTCTCCCTGCCCACCTCCCTTCCACTCCCTCTAAAAATCAATGGAAAAAATATCCTCAGATGAGGATTAACAACAATAAAAAAAAAAAATAGAAAAAATAAAGTTGTCACACTGTACTAACCATTATAAGATACAAAGTAAATATACCGGGGGGGGGCGGTATATGTATGTGTATATGTGTGTGTTCTACATTCATTCCTTAGCCTCAAGAAAATTACAAAATAGCTCAAGAAAAAAAATAAACCTATTGAGAAGCTAAATACACATAAATTTTAAAAATTTTCATGCTAAATTCTTAAAAGCATTCTGATGCAGGGATGGTAGGGAGAGAGAGCACATTGCTCCTCTCAAGTTAGTCAAAACCTCCAGGCCTGCCCCCGTCAACACCAGCTCCCTCCTTTTCCGGAATCATGACTCACTTTGTCCTGGAGCGATCGGTCATCTTTGCAAGATATGAGCTGGGTTTGGGGGAAGGATGGCCTCAACAAAGGCCAGACCAGGGTTTACAAGTTATGAAAGGAATTCAATGTTTTTCAGGGCAGGGACCACGCCTTAACCACTGTGACAGTTCCTGAAACACTTTCCTATCTGTAATAAGAAAAGGGTAATATGCTAATTAGACCGGACATCTTCCGGACGTCCTTCCTGACGAAGCCCAGGCCAGAGGGAAGCCAGTCACGGTCCCGGGTGCCTGCTGGCGGCCAGAGGAGGGAAGCCTGGGACCTGAGTGCCAGAGGGAAGCGGTGTCGGCAGCCGGGGGAAGGAAGGCCTGCTCTTGTACGAAGCCAGGGCTGCAAGGGCTCAGCCCCTTGCACGGATTTCTTGCATCAGCCGCTAGGAAGTATATGTTGTCAAATGGAACTTTTGACACAAAAACAGGAGATAAAGTCATTTTTAGTTGATGGAGACATTTTCCCATCAGTGATTAAAGTAAGACCCAACTTCACAAACAGTTTAACCTGGGGTTTGGCTTTGGGCCTCTGGAGACACATACAGAGAACAGCTCGTTCACACTGGCGGCCCGCGGCGGGAACAGGCAGAGGCAGGCTAACCGACATCACTGTTTTAAGGGCCTGATAGTTACAAAACTGAAGAAGGGAGAGAAATTCTAAGTTTTGATTTCAGCTCTGACAGTTAACGCACTGTAAAAAAGAGCAGACAAAATTTCCGAAATGGCTTCAACCTTATTCCGATGACCCTTATTCCAACCAGCCTCAGAACCAGAACTCTCCCAGGGGCACCAAGAAGCCTACAAAGAGTGCACGTCCGCGCACGTCCAACAATCCACACAGCCGTCCGTGCTCTCATGTTCAACAATCCACACAGCCGTCCGTGCTCTCACGTCCAACAATCCACACAGCCGTCTGTGCTCTCACATCCAACAATCCACACAGCCGTCCGTGCTCTCACGTCCACACAACACCCCGAAGTGGGCGCTTCCTTCCAGCACTTGCTCTGCCACGTGAGTAAGATGGCCTCCCGCGCCGAAACCGGTTTGGCTCAGTGGATAGAGCATCGGCCTGCGGACTGAAAGGTCCCAGGTTCGATTCCGGTCAAGGGCATGTACCTGGGTTGCGGGCACATCCCCAGTAGGAGATGTGCAGGAGGCAGCTGATCGATGTCTCTCTCTCATCGATGTTTCTAACTCTCTATCTCTCTCCCTTCCTGTCTGTGAAAAATCAATAAAATATATATTAAAAAAAAAAAAAAAAAGATGGCCTCCCGCGTGTGGCCCTCTGCAAAAGGCTGAGATTTTCCGAGACGGGCATGTTAATCCAGTGCTCTGCCACCTGCCCCCGCAACAGATCTGCCCGGGGAACAGCTGCCCACCAGCAGCTCTGCTGGAGTTTTAAGCACAGACTAAAATAGAAGTCAAGAGCCAGCGAGGCCCCAGAAAGTGAGTGCGGAATAAAATGGCAACCTCTTCTTAGAAGACATACATGAAGCACCCCCAAGACGTTTCCTCTCTGCTTGGGAAGGCAACCGTTTCTCTTGCGTTCTTTCAATTGGTTTTTTTGCGAGAGGAAGGAAGCGGGAAGCGCGTGGCTGTGCTGCTCCGCTTATGAACACGTTCGCTGGCTGATCCGTCTGTGCTGGCCGGGAACAAACGCAGCCTGGCACATTGGGGCGACACTATAACGAGGCACCGGCGGGGCCCTTTCTGTTTTAATAACCCCCTAGCACGCCAGTAAGAGGCCAAGATCAAGTAGAAACTGGGTCACCCTACAAAATCTCCAAGGATTAAAACCTGCTGCAAACTCAGAGAGCTCGCTCCCTCCAGTCAGTACACTGCACTCAAGTCGCAAACCAGCCTGACCCACATCGTCCGAGCATTTCAGAGCAAACACAGGCAGTTCATCGCGAAAATGACTTCCTACCAGGCCCACCACACAGCTCCTCCCCTCTCCGCCCGATCCAGCACCTGGTAGACAAAACAGATGGTAGGTGCTTGGCAGCCATAGAGGAACTTGACATCGATGACATGCAGTTCCTCCAGGCGGATGTTAAAGGCCTTGAGCTCCTTGTTGTCCCGGTCCAGTGGAATAACCTTGAAAAGGCCGTCGTAGAGCCGCAGGCCAATCATCCGGCACTCAGGGTCAATGATCCCGATGATGCCGGTCTCCGAGGGCCGGCCGATTCGGTCCTGGGAAGTAAGACTGGGTCAGGGAAGAGCCTCCACACCCACAGCCACAGAGGGCCCGGCACCGCTTCCCCAGGACGGGTTAGGAGAGGCGGTCGAACTGGGGGCATCTGCGTGGCCCGCAGGAAACCCAGTGCCAGTGCCTGTCTTTCTGTAAAACACGGAACTCAGTGGATTCTTTCATTTACCCTGTCCCCTGGACCCTGAGTAAACTAGACAAGTCCTTTTTAAAAGCCCCAGCCCTGAGTGCTTTCTCCTTGTTTCTCTGGTCATGGAGAGAGCTGCCCCCAGCACTTCCATCTTCTGCATCAAATCCTGGCCTCCCCACCCCAAACTCTCCTCAGCCAGAGGCAGCCCCTCACCTGGACGTTGCCATGGGCTCGTGTGATGATGTCGATGCTCTCACCGCTCTGCTTGTACTCCAGGATGCAGGCGTTGTACTTGGCTGTCAGGATGAACAGCAGGTCCTTGCTCTCCCCCTGGAAACCAGAATGATGCTATCAAAAGAGGTTCTTTTTAAAACAGACATTCCTGGCCAGCCTGTAAGCGTCATTCTCTAAGCATGCTAACTTACTTACACACTTTTTTCTCCCTGAAGAGAAAATCTACAGTGAGTATTTAACAAACCTAAGTGCACACACTTGAAGGGTGTGCAAAAGCCCAGAACTGGAGCTGTAAACACCTAATCCTCACTGCCATGAATCCACACCTCTCTGCTCTACATTCAATGTCTTCATCTGTTTCCATACCGAGCTAATCGAAATCATCCCTTTCAATTCTGAAGATGAGTGCAACGACTTCTCTAATCTCCAAGCATTTGGAGAAAGAAGGAAAACACGTGAATAACAATGAAGCTAAAATGGGTCTACAGCCTTACCTATTAGCACAAACCCCCACACTGTGAGTGTTTTCATCAGAGAGGCTGTAATTAAGATTCTGAACCCACTGCTTTCTTGTGAGGTTCATTAAGGTACAATCAAGTAATACGGTGCCTCATTAAGTAAAAACATCTATATATAAAAGCGTAAGCGACCTAACGACCAAATGACTGGTCAACCAGTCGCTAAGATGCGCACTGATCACCAGGGGACAGACGCTCAACGCAGGAGCTGCCCCTTGGTGGTCAGTGCACTCCCACATCTAACCTGCAGCCATCCAACCTCCCGTGGCCCCTCCCCCTGGTTGGTCTCCCATGGCCCCCATTGGCCCCATCACCAGCCAGGTCGAGGGACCCCACACGTGCACAAATTTGTGCACAGGGCCTCTAGTTTGAATTATAATAACAATGTGACAACTATTAACATAACAAGGAATGCTTGCTATGTGCCAGGCCCCTTGTTATCAAATCATTTAATCTTCACACTAAACCAGGGGATTGGATACTTTTTTTTTTAAATGTATTTTTATTGATTTCAGAGAGGAAGGGAGAGGGAGAGAGAGATAGAAACATCAATGATGAGAGAGAAAACCATTGATCGACTGCCTCCTGCACACCCCCAACTGGGATCAGGCCGGAAACCAGGCATGTGCCCTGACCAGGAATTGAACCGGTGACCTCTTGGTTCCTGGGTCAACGCTCAACCACTGAGCCACACCCGGCTGGGCAGGATTGGATACTTTTCCCCATTTTGCAAACAGAAAATAAGGCTCTGGAAGGTTAAGTGACACCCAAAGTTAGAATTAATAAGGACTGAAGCCAGGGCTGCCCTACTCCAGAGCCAAGTCCCGGAGTCACCATGACGACCCACAGTATGGGGACCCACATTTCCAACTGCTTCCATTTCCCCTTCTCACAGAAGTCCACTTGCTCACTTTTTCCCCTGTCAATTCCTCCCAGTTCTAGGAAGCTTATTCAAGAATATAAATGAATGCCTGCCATTCCAAAGGAGTCGCTGCTCTCCTAAGCCTTTCTCCACCCGTCCCAAGCACCAACGTAACACAACCTAAGACCCTCTTCGCTGCTGGGCTCAGCCCAGAGCACGTACCTTGGGCCTGAAGAGCTCCATGACGGCGATCTTCCCGTACATGCCCACCTCCTTAACGGGCCGGAGCCCCTCCGCGGTGACCACATAGATCTCCAATCGCGTGTTCTTGGCAATCAGCAGGTTCAAGTCTTCCGCTGACGTGAAATGTCCTGAAGGAACAGACAGATCCTCTCACTGCTAGAGCCACAGCTTCCGAATTCCCACTTAATTCATAGATCTCCCCAGCTCCCTCCAGCCACTCACTCCCGTCTCACCAAACCCCGCCCCCCAGAGAGTCTCACTCAGGCCATCACGAAAGCTGCTTCTCTGATCAGACTAAGAAAATCAGACCAGGAAACCTGGACAGGGCTCAGGGAAGCGTGACAATGACTGTGAACCCCCTCCCGGGGCTCTGCGCCCCCCACTTCCCTTTTCCTTTGCGAGGGCCGCCTATCCTCTAATCGAGGGCTGCTGGGCCGGAGACTGTCCGCTTCCCGTAGGTCCTTGCCTAACGTCCACAAAATCTTTCCCCGACAAGCAGACCGGGTCAGAGGCATTCTGGGAGCTCTGCACCCAAACACGTCTGTCCGCACCCCGTGCCCGCCTGGCCGTGGACCAGCCAGCACCCTCACCTACACTCTCACGCTGCCAGCTCTCTGACAGCTGTTTGTTTTGGAATCATAAGGAGCATTTGCCGGAAGTTTGAGGTCCTCGTTTTGCTGAAAACCGGGTTCAAGGGGACTGATTATTCCCGGGTCCCGGACACCCGTGTTCTCAATCAACGAGGCAGACCCAGCGCGGGTCGGGCCCGCTCCCCGCCCTTCCAGCAGCGAGTCAACAACAGCCCCGGGCCAGGAGGACTCATCCCGTCCAGCTCGGGGCGGGGGCGCGGGCGAGCGCTCCCCACACCCCTCCCCGCCCCAGGCTCTCCCCAAGGCCAGTTCTACCCCTATCGCCACCGCCAGGGCCCCTTCCCCCGACCACACGAGGCCCATCTCGGGGCCCCAGCAGCACCGCACGACCGACTCACACTTCGCTCTCTGTCCTCCTAGGCCCGCCCCGGTCCTCGAGGTCAGATGACCTCCCAGGACGAAAGGGGACCCCCGAAAGCAGCCCTGTAGCCCCCAAAAGGCGCATGAGGGCACAGCTTCTTTGGAGTCGGGGCCTAGGAGGTTCCTCGGCCGCCGGCGCTCCCCATTCCCCGGG